TCGTGGCAATAATCAATGCCATGCTAAGGACCCAGCACTTCCCAACGGCGTGGAAGACCGCTGATGTCATAATGATTCCAAAGAAGGTGTTTTCGATATTCCCTCAGGATTACCGCCCCATTAGTCTACTGTCAGCTCCTTCTAAGCTCGCTGAAAAGGTGATTCTACGTCACCTTGAAAATTTCTCGGCAGACCACAACGTGATTCCTGACGTGCAATTTGGCTTTCGGTCTGAGCATAGTACGGAGCTACAGGCCATAAGGCTTGTTGAACGAGTAACCAGCGGGTTCACCCGTAACGAAAGTACTGGCATCTTGCTACTGGATGTCTCAAAGGCATTTGACAAGGTGTGGCACAAGGGCCTTCTCTACAAATTGATCCATAAGGGCTTCCCCTTCTGGCTCCTAAAACTTTTGAAATCCTTTCTCGAGGGTAGGAGATTTCGGATCAAAATAATAACGTTCTGTCGACAACGCGGCCCATTAAATCCGGTGTCCCTCAGGGTTCGGTTCTCTTTATTCACTTTTTATTCATGACGTCCCTTGCCCCAGCAGCTGTGAAACCTATCTCTATGCTGATGACACTGCCCTGGTGGCCCAGTCGTGCTCTGGGGATCTAGTTCACGACAGGCTGCAAAGTGCAGTGGACGAGGTACTGGAATGGGCGAATCGGTGGCTGATCAAAATTAATCATTCGAAAACGCAGGCAATCTATTGTACTAAAAAACGTAGCGGCGCCCCGTCTGAGGTTTCAGTGAATGGAGCTCGGGTACCATGGGAAAGCTCTGCTAAGTATCTCGGTGTCACTCTTGACAAGGGGATAATCTGGCAGAAGCACACAAGCGTTAAAAACTAAATTCCAAATCTCGTTTCGGCAACTCTACCCTATGCTATGTAGAACATCAAAATGAAGTTTGATCAATAAAGTTCGACTATACAAGATGGTTATTAGACCAGCGATCACTTACGCAAGTGCGGCTTGGTGTTTTCTCGCCAAAACGCATTTGCGTAGCCTGCAGGTTTTGCAGAACAGAACCTTGCGTACAATCACTAACGCCCCATGGTATGTTTCCAACGAGACCCTTCACAGAGACCTTGACATCCCTTACCTGAGGGACTACATCAAACAACAAGCGCAGCTACGTTACAGTCAAGCAGAATCGCATAACAACCCTTTGTTGCGCGAGTCAGTAGACTACACAGTCGAGCAAGTTCGCAAGCACACAAGGCCGCGACTCGCACTGTGAACAAAATTAAATAGTGCTACTTTAGGTCCAACCAAAATTATAATTTTTCTTCAACAACCAATCCCAAAATTAATTTTAGGATCAATTTAAAATTGCTGAATACTAACTAGCAATGCCAAGGCACCCCTCAAATTGATGCACTTCTTTTTTCTTTGCTCTCCCTCCTTCCTTTCTTCTTCCCTTCTTTCTCCCTGACTTTGTTTGGTATCTGGGCAACCAGACCTGACACCTACTGACTTACAAGACTTCAACCAAGAGCAAAGGTCCTAAAGAATTTACTGAATTTCAAAAATGAAAGAGATAAGAAATAATTATATTCACTGTACACTGTCGAATTACAAGCTACCAGTAATTACACACAACGCGGGCGCGGTGATGATTTCCCGTAATTCTCCTGTTTTTCGTAATTCATAACTTTTCAGAAAGCACAAGATATAAATATACGGCATATTCAGTAATGATTTTCTCACACACCAAATATCACTGATTTTATACACATGCAGACCAATACACATAATCATCCAGATGCGATCTTGTTATTCAACCAACTTTCTTCTCAGAGATAAAAACTACAAACACGGATCACTCCTCACGCCTCACAAAACTATGCAACCAATAATGCGTGTAGTTTAGTTGAGTGCTTCCTTCATAGATGGACGTTCACAACGATCCTAGTGAGCAAACGTGGAATCACTGTTTGCGCCCTAAAAACTACCTAGTCTGCAAGTTGACATCTTATAGGTTTTTTTTTTGACGTTTTGTAGGTTTTTTACATGACACCCGTGCCGATCACCGAGGCACGAAGACATTCCATCAGTCGCAACAGCTGCTGAGAGAAAGCTAGGTTATTTGATCATGGGGAAAGTATTTTTCTCGATATAGCCTCCTAACTCTGTACAAGGCCTAGACAACACCTAGCCTCGAGTACTGTTCGCATGTTTGGGGTGCTGCCGTCCCGACCAAATTGTCTGATCGATGACACTTCTCCTCTTCTACCGCGATGCCAGCAGGCTTTGCTCCTCAGTGTGAGAACTGGCCGGTGCGACCGTCCACATTTTCTAGGATGTCTTTTGGAAATAGATACAATGAAGAATTTAGAACATTTTGTACTGCGTATGATAGTGAGATATAGATAGACGAAAGAAACGGAATTTTCACAAAATCGGTTTTATTCTAATTTTATTTATTTAATCATAGTTTCGCCAGGAATTTTTTAGCCAACCCACTATCGATATATTTTCTAACATATTAAATCTGATATAAAATACTTTTTATCCATAAAACAGATGGGTGAAGGTCATTTCTAATTTGGTTCTTCTACTATAATTTTACCTATCAAGCGATGAGTTATGAATCGTATAAATTTGGAGTCAAACGAGAAAAACATTTTTTTACTTTTGGCCAGGTTTTTTTGTTCTTGTACTCTGCAATGTACATCGGCATCGAAATCTATGTACACCCGATTCACTCAGAAAATTGGTCTTTTCCGGATGACAGATCGCAAAGACTGATTCTGTCTAGAACATATTAGTTTTTTATGAATAATTTGCTCTTCTTTTGTGCCACCTTTTGGACGAATATGTATTCTAAAATTTCTTTCAAGAATGGTAGTGAGAATGTATAAACGATCACTACTAGTGATCACAGTTTGATATCAACCTCTGCAAAATGCCCCAAACCTTATATATCGCTTTTAGGTTATGACAAGTTGAAATTTAATGTGTATGCTGTCAATAATTTTTCAGAATTGGCTATCGGGTGTTATTTTTGATGAGAAATTACATTTAGAATTTTCTGCGCATGCATCGAAAGTACGAATTGAAGTTTCCTACGGTGACACTTCCGGTCTCCACAGCAGGTAACACAAAAATTATTAAGTACGATGGATGTTTTGCATATGGAAATAAAACAACACGGTAGGTAGTTTCAAATGACTTTATTGTTTTTCAAAGTATTCTCCACGAAGATTAAGACACATATGCATGCGCTCGAACCAATTTTCGAAGCACTTGTTCCACTCGTTTGCTGGCAGATCCAAAACGGCATTTTTGAATGCGTCAACTGGAACCTTTGACCGCGCAGTCTGTTTTTAATTTTCGGGAAAGTAAAGAAATCGTTACGTCTTAGATCGGGACTATATGGAGGATGGTCTAATAATTCCACGTTTTCTTCCGTTAAATACTGCCTTGTTTTTTGGGCTGTGTGTGAGCTTGCATTGTCTTGGTGGAGGATGATTCTTCTCTCGGGGTTGATTTTTCGAAGCTCGGTGATGACTTTTGGCAAACAAGTGGTGATATACCATTTCGCAGTAACAGTTCTTTGCTCATTAAGAGGATTTGTTTCAATATCACCCGCTTTTGACACAAATGTCCCGACCATCTTTTTCGAAACACTTTGAGATCCGACTTTTGTTGGCTTTTCTTCACCTTGGAACACCCAAACAGCCGACTGTCGTTTATTCTCTGGTTCATAACAGTAAATCCACGATGCATCACCACTAACAATGCTCTACACATTTTTTTGAGTTTCTGGAATTGAAACGGTCAAGCGTTGTTTGACACCAATTAACCCTGCCTGCTTTCTGCTCTTCAGCCAACGAGAAACTAATTTTCTTACTCCTAATTCTTCATGTACATTTTTTTGAATTGAGGTCTTTGATATCTTCAAGGACGCCTCAATCTCGCGATATGTCACATGTCTATCTTCATGATGAGTTTGCGCACAGCATCGTTTTCCTGGGTGACTGCCGTTTTTGGTGCACCCACCCTGGGATCGTCGCTAAGACTCACCCGACCACGTTTGAATTCTCCATACCAACGTAAAATTGTCGACTGATGTGGCGCTTCGTTGCCGAAAACGGACAGTAACTCAGCAAGGCATTCTTGTTGCGATAATTGTCTCTGAAAGTTGTAATAAATTATGGCGCGAAAATATTCTCGGCTGAGTTCCATTTTTCTAATGAGTTGGTGACACTTGAAAATTCAGTAGTGAGAACACTTCACGTATTGTTGTGAAACTTTGAATTTAAGTTTACTAAAGAGTGAGGTTAAGATTCAGTACTGACGTTCGATCCGCGCGGCCTACTATGTTTCTATATGCAAAACTTAAAAGACATCCCTCGTACAGCACCTCCAATCATTGTTCTCCATGCTCCTGTTTCAGTAATGATACGGTTACTCAAATTGTCGAATGTGATCTGTGATATGACACTTCGCTAGCAGGAGGACGCTTCAAGTTTCGCATTCTCTGATCAACTAAGTCGTATCGTTACATCAACAACCTGAGATGATCGCATCTATGAAAGTTTTGCATTTTAATATTTCAGAATCTAGTATTTTGAACTTTCATGACATTTTCTTTTATTTTGGCGCTTGATGGTTCTTTCAAAGCCCAAGGTTAGCAATTTTGTATTTTTGTCCAAAGTTCACCGATTTTCGACTATGTATCTTACTTATTTTTGTATGTGCCGCAAATTCTATTTGCTCAGACTTACACGCTGTTCCGATTGGTGTGCCCCAAGCCGCCATACTTGAGCCTACTTTGCTTGTACTGTAACACGATGATCTTATATCAGACCATAAGCTTGTTATGTGTACTCTGAAACTTAGTGCTGGCAAGATGCATCAAAAATTCATATCCTTGATTTTGATGAGGCAGCTTTCATTTCAGATCTGTGTACCTCTAATCTTGATGACTTATATTTTATGAATAACATAGATGCTAAAGTGGAACATCTGACGACAACCCTCACAAATATTTATAACAAACATGCTCCGATTAAGACATTACGTGTTAATAAACCGCCATCTCCTTGGTTGGATGAGGGAATGAAAAAGCTTATCAAAGAAAAAGATTCAGCTTTTACCAAATATAAAGCTAGTAAATCACTTGAAGACCTTGATAAATTCAAACAGCTGAGGAATAAGGCACTACATAAAATTCGAATTAAAAAGAAAGAGTACATTCAGAATCTAACTGATCAAAATAATCTAAAAACTTTATGGTCTGGGCTGAATAGGCTTAACATAAAATCAGTTACGACAGTGTCTCAGAAAATGTATGTCGGTTTTATGACAGCAACAAATTGGACAATCGAAATCGCTTTTCTTTGCGAGTTGTCGAGCCGGTGGAAATATTGAAGGCAATCAAAGATATCAAATCAGATGCAAAAGGAATTGACACCCTCTCACTAACCATGCTCAAAGTAAGTCTTCCCGTAACTTTTTTCCATATCACCCACATAATAAACTCATGTTTGGAAAATGGCTACCACCCTAAGCTGTGGAAGCTGGCTCTAATTATACCTGTCCCTAAAATATCTAAACCTACCGAACTTAAACATCTTAGACCCATTAGTTTGTTGCCGGTGCTATCGAAAATTTTGGAAAAAATTATACAGCAACAAGTTGTCCATTACATAGAGGAACTTAAAATAATATCGTCATGTCAATCGGGCTTCAGGAAGCACCATAGTACCACCTCGGTACTGTTAGATCTTTGTGATAATGTTATTAGGGCAGTTGACAAAAAGTTAGCAACAGCAGTGGTATCAATTGACTGTTCCAAAGCATTCGATCGAATAAATCATAAACTTTTGTGCGCCAAGCTGAGGTATATAGGCTTCGATGATGCTGCTGTCAGTTTTTTCCGTAGCTATTTGTCCGGTCGCACGCAATGTGTCGCAATCAATAACGATCAATCCAATATTACGACTATTCCGTCAGGAGTTCCGCAAGGCTCAATTTTGGGACCTGTGCTCTTTTTGATTTACACGTGTGACCTGCATAAAGCAGTTGACAATTCAGGGATACAAACATTTGCTGACGATACTCAAATAATATTCCATTTCGACGCCTCAGATACGCAAAATTCATCAGACATTTTACAGCTTGATTTAGATAAGGTACATCAGTTTTCTATGGAACATAATCTTGCTATTAATCCAGATAAGACACAAGTGTTATTGTTTTGTTATGATCAGAAGAGGAAAACTGTCGAAGATTCTTTCCATCTGACTATTGATGGCATAACATTACAGCATACTCAAACAGCTAAGGTACTAGGAGTGGAAATTGACACAAAATTAAGATTCCGCGACCAAATAGCTAATTTGATGAAAAAAACTTACCTATGTTCTAGGGCTCTTTATTCCAATCGCTACTTGCTTAACTTTAAGCTGAGAAAAAAACTGTGCGAATCTTTGGTGATGGCAATGCTCAGTTACTGTGATGTCGTTTATTATCGATGTTTGGATCAATTGACCAAAAATCGTCTTCAAATCATCCAAAATAACTGTGTTCGCTTTATTTATGGGTTGCGTAAATACGATCACGTAAGTGATAAATATAGGGAATTGAACTGGCTTAGGTTAGGAAGTTTGGTTAAACATAAATTCTTAGTTTTAATTCATAAAATAATATTGTCATTAAAGCCTGAATATCTAAGAGCTAAGTTAAGATTTAATTACGAAGTGCATGACAGGGCTGTTAGGAATCGTTATAGTATCAGAACCACCCCACACACTTCTGCATTATTCCAACGAGGATTTACATATAATGCAGCACTATTTTATAATCAGTTGGACAACAGTATTAAATTGATGTCTTTGGAAAGTTTTCGTAAACATACTAAAAGCATGTGGCTCGCTATTGATTAAATAAGCATTTCTGCTACAGATATAGATTGTGTCTATTTGTATTTTATACTTAGGTATATATGTGTTCTTTTTTCATTGTTCTTATTTTTTTTTCCATGTTTTGAACATCAGATGTAACCGACATAAACAGTTACGTGTAAGAGTAGCCTTGGCTAAACTTCACTGTTTATGTCCCTCCGGGTTATCTAATAAAGACGTTATTATTATTATTATGACCACAATTAATCCATCATACCATGAAACTTTATATGCAGATGACACCTCCCTCTAAATGTCCACAAAAAACAGCCAAGAGCTTGTAAATACGCGTAATGAGTCAATGCAAATAATTATGTATTGGTTCGATAACAATTCGTTATTTTTAAATTGCAACAAGAATCATTTCGTAATATTCCGTCCATACCAGCACAAACTAGAAAACATCAATATTCTTGTGGAGATGGAGATATGTATTTCGTCGGTATCTTGTACTAAATTTATGGGACGGCATATAAATAAGAATCTCAATTGAAAAATTCACTGTCAAGGATTAGCTGCTAAACAAATGCAATTACATGTATTACGAAACCTTAGGTCGGTAATCCTCTAATCCCGATTGCACTACGCAGTCTGTTTCTGGGGCTCGTACCCGCTGCTGTTAAAATTCTCACCTTGATTGGTATCTACGTTATTTTTATTTAATGTTAGCCATTTTTTGTATCAAAGAAAAATATCTTGCAATTTAAAAAAACTGCCTATTAATAAAAATCAACATAACCCAATAGCAGCAATTCGCCAGTGCGTTACGCGTCGTCTTTTCGACTGAATACTGCTTCGATTTGTCTTGACCTAGTGTCAACTAATGTTTGGAAGTCATCTGGTGTAACTCAGTTCCAGCTCGCAATTCTGGAACGGTTCTCGCGGGATTCGATCGGAGCTTTTTCTTCATGATATGCCACAAGGTTTCAATCGGAGATACGAGCCCCTTCCCACTTCAGTTGGCCCAACTGTTGAAATCTTAGTTTTTTTCCTTTCAAACACAAATAATAAAAATGTAGCAGGGTGTTATAGGTTTAAAATATTAACAATGAATATTTTGATAATATATAGTAGAAAACACCAACTTTATCACTCCCTAATCAAATTTGCAGCATAAAAATAACACATGTTGCAATTACAGCATATCAACGTATTTTCATTTCAATGCAAAATAAGTCTATAACGCATAGCTGGCTGTGAAAAATAAAAGCCATGACAATTGTTTTTATTAATCACAGCTGTCAGAATACGTTTAAAATAGTTTTGGGTAGTTAAGGTTTTCAAAATGGGTAGAAGAAAGGTTATTTGTGAGAAAATTCGGTTACTGATAATTAAATTTTTTAATTCTGGGAAATCAAACTCAGAAATTGCAACTTTGTTAGACTTATCGCGGTACAGTGTGAGAAATATTGTTAGAAGATATAACGTAACTGGTTCAGTTAATATTAAGCCACGATATGTGAAAGAAAGTAATATCACAAATGCCGATCGAAGAGCATTAAGAATAATCGTGAAAAACAGGCGTGCCAATTATTTACAATTAAGTGCTCTGAGGAGTGACGCTGTTGGAAGGAGAATTTCGAGGTCCACAACTCATAGAGAGGCACACAAACTGGGATTTAGCACTTGCAAGGTAAGTTTTCTTACAAAAAAAAGTGAAGTAAAAACCCTAAAGTTGCACAACTTGTTTATAGGCCAAAGAAAAGCCACTATTAACTCCACTGCAAAAGAAAAATCGGCTTAGATGGGCTAAAGAACATAGACAATGAACACCTCAACAATGATGTGCAATAAAATGGAGTGATGAGGCCCGATTCGAAGTTTGTGTTGGTGACAGTCGCAGTAGAGTTATTCGCAAAAAAATGAAGCATTCCATGTTGACTGTCTGAAGAAAATAATGTACCACTTTTGAAATGGGTTTCTAGCAGTCCAGATCTGTCACCTATTGAAACTTTGTGGCACGAGATGAAAAAGGTTCTACGACAACATCCTGCTAGTACAATCACCGAACGAAGACAAATTTTTTTTGCCAAAACTTGGTTAACACTATGCCCCAAAGAATTTCAGCCGTAATAAAAAATAAATTTGATGTTACCCAATGGTAATCTGTCAACTGTTGCTTTGTTAACTTCGCGCATTTATTCCCACATTGTTTATTTGTTCAGATGTTCTGTTAGTTATAGGTCTAAGTGATTTCAAATATGTATTTTTTACGACTAGAGTGTATCTAAAACGTTTTTGAGAAAATAAATTGTTTTAGAAGTAAATAGTTTCGTCATGTTTAGTTTATAAAGGCATATTTTGTTACAAATCTTGAAGTGGGCCAACTGAAGTGGGAAGGGGCTCGTAGATCCGGACTACTCGACGTCCATTTTAAAACTGAAATATTGTTTTCTAACATCAAATCTTTAACTTGTTTAGCCGTATGGCAAGCGGCGCCATCTTGTTGGAAGATGCATTCAATATTGTTTAAACACATTTGTACGATTTGGGGTATTAAGTTATTTTTAAGCACATTAAAATGTACTTATCAGCATTCATAATACCTTCCACAAAGTGTAAGTTCCCACTCCACTTGCTGACATGGATGCCCAAATCATAACAAAAGCCTGAAACTGAACTTTTTTACGACAGTCATTCTGGAACGCTTCTTTAGTTCTTACGACACTACTCCTACTATCACCAACGCATACTTCAAATCTGGATTCATCACTCCAAATTCCATTGGTTCGGAGAGGCCATAATTTGTGTTCTTTGGTCCAAGCTAGTCTGTTTTTCTTATGAATGATTGTCAGTAATGGCTTCTCTTTTGCCTCGAAATACTGAATTAAAAACGAATAATAAAAATAATTTAAGCAAATCTTGTAAGTTCTGAATCCCAGTTTTTGGGCCGCTCTGTGACAAGTTGCTCTTGAAACGTGTTTGTGGTTGCCTGATTCTATAACATTTTCAATTCGTTATAATTAGCACTCCGATTTTCCTTGATAATATAATTTATAAAATTTTATAATTTCTCGAACTGTATACCTCGATTTGTTAACACTATCAGCGATTTGGGAAGGAATTTGGCCTTTTAATTGTAAGCGAAAAATCACTTTTCATCAGAAACAGCTTTTCTACGAACCATTTTTAATTGTTAACAACAACTCCAATGCATTGAAAATTGATTTAAACGTCAAAAATCAGCTTTTTAGGAACGTAAAATAATCTCTTTTACAAAGCCTACCTCTGTTTTATCGAAACGAATAAACAGACCATTTAACTTAAGTTGTATTCACCATGTATTCCGCTATACACAAATCATTTTGCAAAGAAAACCATTTCGAAATAAAAACGCTTTAAAAATAGCTCTGTCGCTTTTGTTATCTTTGCATAAACATTTAAAGGAACCAAAAATATCATATTTGAAATAAAATTTTAATTAGCGCTCAAATAATTTCACAAATTTCTTTACTATCTTTACTATCCTCATGATACCATCTCCCGTTATCAAAACTATCAGACTTCTGGGCACAAATATCTTGTTT